AGATTGTAGGGACCATGAGAAAACAAGGGTCCCTAAAGGCATCTCAATGCAAGAGAGAGTCGAAGCTAGAATTTCCATTAAGGGGAAAGTGTTCTGCCTAGCTGCTTCTGTCAAAAGTGTGGCTCTGCTTGAAGCCGACGCTTGGAAGCATCCAATGCTCTTGTACTAGTCGGATTGAGTTCAAATATTTGTGGGTGTCCTACGAAAAGAGCATTGACTCCTTTATTATAGTATATAGGCATAAAAAATAGATGAAGGTGAGAGAGAGAGTGAGATGATTTACAACTACAAGAGTACAAACTCATTTTGACATACTACTAAACATTGACTTCAGAATCAACAGAATTTGCGCGCCTGACGTTTTTAGTCTAAAACTTGATAAAATTGTGAAATGTAAATTTTCAAACCATAAGTAGACAAAATATCACTGGCTTAAACCACCAACTCCAAGCTTGAATTCATGCCGATAGTGGGCGTGACTGAGCTGCCTTGCAACCCTACTATGACCGTCCCAACTTCAACCTATATTAACTTTTAATTTTCAGCTCTGCGCTTATAAAGGCATCTTTGTACTCTGCAACATGATGATCCTTCTAATTTGTCACTTTTTCATGTTTTGACTGCTAGTTTAACCAACTAGAGTATCCTAATTTTGACCAACTTTAACAATTTGCCTCATCCTTGAGATTTTGAACAATAACTAGATAAATAGGAGCATCCTAATTTTTAAGTAACTCTCTACTAAAATGCCGCATTCGCATGGTGATATGTCTTTCAAGTGCAATTTCATACTCCACGCACCGGTTATGATGTTCCATCCTCTACGACAAAATAGCCCTTCATATTCTTCACATCCTCAAGGCCGGGCCACCAGTTGCAATTCATCTTTTAATGATAAACTACTCTCAAATTTAGGGCATCTTTCTTTGGTAAACTACAGAATCTACTAATTTTTATACCTACTCATATGTTTTGAATATTTGCTAAATAGCTTGTTATCATTGATATGACATCAGAATAAATCCTCAAACCATTGACATATGACATCAGAATAAATCCTCATGTCCTGCAATGATGAATGCCTCATTCTCTGGGCTGCCCTTCTTTGGGAGGATGGTCCTCAGTGCAACTAATTTAAGGATTCCATCAGTGAAAGCTCAAACTTTAAATCTTTTAACAATAAGGAAGTCACTAGAGTCAGCTTAGCAACAAAACAAGTCGTTAGTCGTTTCTTTAGCTATCTTGTGCAATTACGTGTGTCCGGTGGCCATGGGATGGGTTACAAACTTGCAAAGAACATTATTGTTACTTGCAGTGAATTAAAATCACCAAATGAATGACAGGACACAATTGGTGAAGAAAGTAGGTTTATGTTGAACTTTTGGCCATAAAATAAAGGACTCAAATAAATAGAACAAATCCTCATAAAGAGTTTCATGCCAAAATTCTACAATATTAGTACACTGACAAGCTAAACAAATAACACAGTTTTTGTTCACCTACATTGACAAGCTAAACAAATAACAAAAGTTTTTGTTCACCCATGCTCTACAGTACAAAACACAACAATGCAACATGGTGAGAAGATCATTTCAACTAATTCTAATGTGTTTGCATACCTGCAGCATTACATAATACAATTTGACATATTGTCCAGAAGGAAACACTTGCGTTTTTTCTGTAGCTCTATCCTATGATCAACTGCAAATCAACTGAGAAAAGAAAAGGCAACACAGTGAGAAATTCATTTCAACTAGCTGAAATTTTCTATTCATCAAAACATTAATCAGTTCATTACCAAGCAATATCAAAAAAAGTTTACAAAGCATCATTTCTCATTGAATAACTTCCCTGAAAATTGGTCCATGTTAGGAACAAAGTGGCAATACGCTCCGCCTATGAAACACGGATACTTCAAAAAGGTCAAAATATCAATATTGGATATTTCCCGGACACAGATATGCGTCTGGCCAGATAAGTATCCGATACAGCTAAGAAGTATCCTAGAATTAAAAAAAAAAATTAAATTTCAAATACTTCATGATATGTTGGGATTCATCGAGATACGCGGGGATACACCGTGGATACGGCGTGGTATTACTTGAATTTTTTTTAAAAAATAGGGGCATCATAACCAATATACTTGGGCCCTTACTTGGAAAAAAAAAAAAAAAAAGAAAAATTTATGAATGTATAATTTCTCAATGATAGAATGGTTAGTTATTATTATATATCTTTGATAGATATGAGTCACTTCTATAAATCATAATTATTACATTAAATATAATAGTAAAATTTTTAAAAAATATGTTTTATGGACGCATCCTAACCGTACCCGTATCCCTTTTTTTTAGGTTTTATCTCACCGTATCCTTATCGTGTCGTATCCGTATCCGTGTTTCATAGTGATCCACGAATGCCAAATTTATTGAACCCTTTTCATCAAACATGCAGTAAAAGTTTGGCAGGCACAAATTCAAGTGGCCCAAGGTTCTCATGTACATTTCTTAAATACAGAAGTTAAAGCTTTGGCTTAGACAGGAACAGTGACTTTAGTAGTTTAATTGGCCATGGTTAATTCAATTTACATACTACTGTCGCAATATTTCCCCCATTTTTAAGGTGGGAGGAGTTAGAGACCCAAAAAAAAAAAAATTGCTTAAACACGAAGCTCAAATATAAATCTGGGGCAAAAAGTTAGCATATGAGCACTGAAAATTCTGGAATGAATCAACCCAAATGTGCAGAGAAATATGAGATAGATTGAAGCTAAGGTTAGGCATGTGCCCAATCTACCCTCCTATACCCCCATTAATGGCAACTAAACTGCATGCCAATTTTTTCATTGAAGATAATCATTTATTATCACAGCTCTATGATTAAAAAGTAACACACACACACTCTCACACAGAGCAAAATCAGATCAGCGCAGAATTACCACATCAGTCCAACCGCCGTATAAGGCAATCTTGAATATAATTGCCACATTTTTCAAACTGATGCTGTTATTTGCTGACCAATTTTTCGTTCGGAATCACTATTGCTCGAAATTATAATTATTACACATAACTTACATTAAATTTCAACACATATTGAACAGCCTCCAATCATTCAAGTAATTGAACATGCTTGACCACAGTAACTATTAACGAACCAATTAAAGAAATAAGAAGCAAAATTGCACAAACTTTGGTAAAAAGATATTGTGTTTTGAATCGAAAGGAATACATTTGATCATGCATAGCAATGTATCAAATGAAATGTGTACATTAACTTCACTAGTTTAGGTTCTTTTTCATATTCTTGTTAGATCGTCATAGTAAAAATGTCCTTCCAGAATGATAACAGACCTATATTCCAATGTTAATGCTTTACAAGCATGTATTCAGCAGTCTGTAAATTTTAATCAAAAGGAAGTTGGAATCCAAGTAGTGTATGATGTACCCTCCTGCTAAAGCACAGAAGCAACAGCATGTCTCTTTTACTGCATGCATTATTTTGCAGACCAAATGACAGGAGCATAAGGCTCCATCTGTTTTCCACTCAATAAACAACTTTGGGGTAAGATGTACCTCTAATAGTCACTGATTGAACCTAGGAAGCACGGAAATGGACACGAGAATACGACAAAGTTCAAAAATATAGGGTAAAGATACTGCAAGGATACTACTATTAAAATAATCTAATATATTTTTTAAATAATAATAGAGTTGTAATATATTAAAAATAAAGCATATATTATAACAATATTAATAATAGGACCTAGTAAATATTATTTTTTTAATTAAAATAGAAATATATCAAAATAAATATTCATCATTTTCATCAAACATCATTATATCCATTAACATTCATAGTATATAAGTTATATAACAAAAATTATATTAAAAAAATAGAAATAACACTCCTTTTAATGCTCAACAATTGTTTTTTTTTTAAAAAAATTTGTTGTCATATCCTAATTATGTCCTAGACTTATCCCGGTTGTATCTTAAACATATCTTGACTGTGTTCGACTAGGTTCATTATTCCGGACACTTATAGTCGTATTGGACACGTGTTTGATACTATCACGACACCCCTCCAAGAAGTATCCGTGCTTCATAGGTTTGGAAATATAAAATATTTGGAGCCGTTAAACAACCATCTACTCTAAAAGCTTAAAGTTTTTAGAGAGGATATAACTTAAATATTTATCCTACAACACGCCCCCTCTTGTGCAGGGTTATATTTTGGGTCTAATAATTAGCAAATCTTTTAATCATTGGGGTGACGGAGAGATTAAAACACAGGACTTCCTCCTCTAATGCCATGTTAAACAACCATCTACTCTAAAAACAAGTATTTATACTTCTACAAGAAAGATATGCTTATATGAACTCAAGGTGCTTAAAATCAAATATTTTAGGATTTTTGCACCACTACAGATTTTCACAGGTTCCAATATAGCATCCACAAGAGGAAATACCACCCCACCCCAACTACAGCACACACAAGCACAAGACCAAATACACTCACCAAAAAAAAAAGGAGAAAAGAAAAATCTCAACAAAACCTTACATAGATGGCAGGGGATCAATTGGAATCATTTAAATTAATAAGATGCCTCCCAATTAAATCAAGGAAAAATTAAAATTCAAGAAAAGATTAAATTTTTTAAGGTTGGTCTTATTCAACTCAGCAAAGTCTTCTCCCAGCTTTGTCCAGTTAGCTATAACATGAATGTTGTTTTGCCATTGTGCAATGTCCATGGCAATAATACTCTAAACTTTTATTTAAGGAAACAAAAGTCAGTATATTTATTGAGCGAAATCAATACCTTTACAGCTACCTGCTTTCATGTATATCTCCATACTTTACATGGATCAAAAGCATATGGAAGAGGAGAAGCAAGAAAATAGACATTGTACATCAAGACGGAAAGAAACAGAGATATCTGACCTTTTTCAAGAAGCACCGGATAGCTAGTTCCACCCTCATTAAAGCGCATGTCAACACCATTAATAAAAATAACCCCTGCATTTCAATGATCCACACAAGCAATTTTTCCTCCTCTGGTCTGCTTTGTCAGGCTGAACTATCCCATAATCATATGTCAACTCTTGCATAGGAGGAATGTGTCTGATTGCATAAAATGCAATATGGAGATATGATTCCATGTTATTTTCACGTAAAACTGGCTGCCAGAACACATTTGGAGAACAACTATGGTTCATAAAACGTGCTACATTCCCATTAGTTTTGGCACTTATAACAAGGGGAAAAGGGACTTTTGCACTTTCATTGGAATCACCACGCACACCTTCCAGAGGCTCATAGGTTCGGGTGGCATCAAAAATATAATTATCCTCATTGTCGCTCCCAACCTTCTCTAGCACAGATGTATCAATGACTTCACCTGCATACTCACAAATAAAGCTTCCTCCACGGATGGGATCCCAAGACCTAAGTCCCCAACCTTTATCCTTCGTCTTAAACACCTCCAGGCGAACTTTCAGACCTGTTTGCGACACTCGATTCCGGCAGTTAGGAGGGCATGAACAGGAAGAACCACACTCATGCACCAAGGAATCATAACATATAAGAGCCCCAAGTGAACTATGGGGGAGAGAGCCTCCATTTTTCTGGATGCAAGGGCAGTTGGAGTCACCAGGTTGGCATCCACCTAGGCAAGTGCAGCTCAAAGAAGGTTTGGGTGAAGCAAATGGTTTTGAGTATTTGACATTAGGAACATATGTGAAATAAGCAGGCCCCTTTTCATCATCAACATCATTTACAAGTGAAACAGGGAGACATTCGGCTCCTGAAGTAAGGTCTGGCAGGATAACCCCATTCCTTGAAGTAACACCATCCTTCCATTGCTGGATTAATTTCCACATTGTAAATGCTTCCGGCTGGCCAGGTACTCTAACCAATTTGTATTTAAAAACATTGCAGCCAGACTTCCCTTTCTCCACCCATGACTCCTGGATTCTGTAGAGGCCGTCATATACATATACCTTCCCTGTTGAGTTCGCAGATTCCTTCAGACCTCGAATGACCCTTACCTCATTAGTCCGGTGCAGGCTCTTTTCCAATGCAAGATTACCCCTTTCTAGTTTCTGATCCATCACTTGTTTATCTCTCCTTTGAACTCCACCCTGGCCACTGTAAATTAACACATCACCATCCTCCCCGTCATCCTCATAGCCTCCAGAAGAAACAATACTGACCGCCAGAGGTTCTTCATCTATAGTGAGCTTGACACCCATGTAATCTATACCAGACATACTCGGAGAATGCAATCCAACCAAGCACATTTCCATCCTGAAAAAGAAAATATCCCCAACTTCAACCCCAGGGACAGATCCAACCCTCTTCTTGCTATTCGTCCGGATGCCTTTAGTCATCAAGATTGCCCCAGCCTTCAAATCTGGACGTCTTGTAGCCCCTGGAGTTGGCTCCTTCCCATCCTCATTTTGAGACATCCTTCTTCGGAACAAATCAAAAACCAAAAGTATGCGTCCAACTAACTCCTTGTCACCATCAGTTTGTTTAACCATATCCAATCCCGTGAGATTGAATTGTGTCACGAGACTATTAACTATTGAGTCAGTGTCAACATCAGGTGTTGGCCTCACATGTTGGTTATTCTTTATCTTCTTCCGGGATCTCTTTGGTCTGCCCCCATTGCTGGTATCTTCTACATCAGCATCATTCATGCTAAAGGGAGTATTCTGGGAGTCACTATAACCATCCTCGTCCACGACTAGACTTTCTTGTTGTGACTGAAAAGCTTCAGGTTTTTTCCTGGGCCTCCCCCTTGATCGCTGAGATGGGACTTGTGTCGTTGGTGTTCGGAATGAATTCAAGGGAACAGGGGCTGGTATTGTGTTATTAATACCATAATTACCTGCTTGACTGGGTATAGCGATTGGGGTTTGCGGGTTCTGTTCATTTGGCCTTTGAGACTCATTTGATACAAAAAAAGGGTAAAACGGTGCAACCCCAGGAGGAAAAGGACCAGTTGGAGGGACACACATAAATGGGGAAGCCTGTGGAGTTGAAAATGCAGGTGTACCAGGTGAAGATGGGAATATTGGAACAAGACATCGTAATGGCCTAACATTCAAAACCCTAGATTTATCAATATAGCCAGAAGTAGGAACAGACTCCGAACCCAAACCTTGCTCCATTAATGAAAGTTCCAGACAAAAGAATCACAACTCACAGCACAAGTTCCACAAAAGCCCAACTTTTTACTTCCTCCGACCACTCAATTTTCTTCTTCCACAACCAACCATCACAAACCAAAACTCTCTAGCCGCTATAACAATAATTCATCTAAGTTTGCAAACAATAAAAAATTCCACAACACAAATCATCACAAAACAAGCAAAAAAAATCACCTCAAATTGCAAAAGGGGCAACCTTAGACCACAATTACTGGTAGAAATTGTTTCCGGCAACATGCAAGCATAAATAGGGAAAATAGAAGTAAATTTCCTGCAACATGGAAGCAGAAATTTGGTAAGGAATATAAGTAAAACAACTACGAACCTGACCTTCCAACCAGATTGTAAAGAACAGAGCAAAGAAACCCTAAAACTACTTAAAACCCCAGAAACCCAGTAACATAGAGCAAGAAATGAGGTCTAACACACATATATAGACATAAAAACAAAAGAGTAGAAGACCCAACACAGGATTAACAATGAACATGACTATATGATTAGTAGAATTTGAAAAATCTTTGAAAAACTAAGCAGAGCATTTATGGTTTATGTCTGAAGTGAAGAATCAAAAATCGAATAATATGTTTTCCATCTGACGAGGATCAACAATTCCACCCAAGAGAGGAAGCAGATCTTAAAATGAAAACATACCTTTCGAGTTTCACACAGAGAGACACACGAAGAGAGCGAGAGGGCTGAGCACAAAATGAGTTTAATGCTGGAATCCTCTGCGACTCCATTTAATACAGTTCCTACAATATTTATGATCAGTGGCTGTCAAGCCCGTATTATGTAGAAAAGGAACCGCCTCGTGTCTGATTGCGGATCGACATCAAGACACGTGGCAAAAAGTAGGTCTGATTAACGGTCAGAAAATAAAAGAAATGGCTACAAGTATTATTTAATGTTGTCAAAATTCCATGGATATATTTTAGTTGCGGGTGTATCTGATTTTATCCCACAGTTGGTAACATTTACTTTTGTCAGGGGAACATGAAAGTACTCAAGTTTTTCTGAAATTTTTTTAGGCGTAAGGAAAATGTGCAACTAAAGGAGAGAATCCACTAGGTTAATTGGTTTAAAGTACGGCATCAAAAAAAACGTTAGAGTAACAATTAGAGTTCTTCGAATTTTATTTTTGATTTTAATTTAGTTTTTAAATTTTTAATTATTTTAATTCAGTCTTTAATTATTAATTTTGTCTTAATTAAATTTCTTCATCAATTTGTAGCATTAAATCAATTAAAGACTAACTCAATCTGATTCACTTTAACATTGATTTAATGGTAAAAATTGGTCAAATGACTTAATTTAAACAAAATTGATAGTTAAAAGACTACATTAGGATATTTGAAAATTTAAGAACTAAATTAAAATTGAAGGCAAAATTCATGGACCAACTATGATATTTACTCTTATTTTTAGGTATTTTAATCTTTTTTAAAATTTAATTGACATACACAAAATTTATTTTATGTTTATTATTTTCATATTAAAAAACAACCAACAATTTAAACTAAAATTTACTGTTAGGAATTATTTTTTGACATAACAAGGAAAAATTAAATTTTCTTATGACAGTCTTTGTGAGACTCGTACACGCATTTCATGATATTTTGTTAAAAGTTAGAAGTTAATGCATAATTTATGATATTAATCTGGGGTTAAATCGTAGTTACAAAAATTATGGGAGAAAAAAAAATTGAATTTTAATCCTAAGGGTTGAATTTTGTGAAAAAACTGGTATTTGGGTATAATATCGTATTAAGGGAAAAAATTCTGTGTGTGAATCTATAAATATTTAAAATTTAGTGGTGTGTGTGTGAGGGAATAAAGTCTTAGGGAATCCAAATGGGTTTTGGGGAAAAAGGTGAGTCATAAGGGACGGGTGTCTCTCATAGCTCACTCCTTTTATATATACCATTTTAATTTATAAGTTTAATTTTTATGTTGTGAAAAATTATTTCATGCAACTTTTGTATCTCTCTTATACATAACATCACACTAACAATTTTGATGAGTAATATATTCTCTCTTAAAAATAAAAACACTAAAACTATGTGTACACTTTTGTCGTAAAGATAGATAAACACGACACTTAATGCATTTTAAATTAAAAAATAGCCCACACAACAATAATATGAATTAACATTAAAATTGTTAGAATTAACTAAATAAAAAAAAGGCAACCTTCCCATATTCCTTTCAATTTAACAGCATGTACGCCAATGACCCATAGAGGAAATATTTTCGTTCACATCAAAAACACTAAAACTGACATAGTAATGACTTTAGTCTCAATTAACCACCTTGGAGGAAGTTCTAAGCTTTAGGAGCCTAGGATGATGGAGTGGTGGTGATGAAGCTTGGGGCTAAGGTAGGCTTGGCGGCATCCGTGGAGGCACCCGTGTCTTGCTTGGGAGTGAGATCGAAGGTAGTTTAGTTGGTATAGAGCTTGGTTCATGCCGAAGATAACGTCAGTATCTAATGGTCACAAAGAAATCCATTGATAGGTCATAACCAAAACCTGGGCATAATTTACAAATAGATGAAGTACCTTGGGCCCTTGAAAAAATTAAATACAGATGGACTTAATAAATGATTCTAAAGGATGCATTCAAAATTTAGTAAAATAAAAGCCTAAAATTAAGAGGGAGAGAAGGGAGGGACACACCAGTCGAAAAATTTGATGGGATCTAATATTTGTTTCGTTGAGAGGTCTCCTCTATTTGTGCTTGAGCTTCAAGATAAAATCCGGAACATATGTCACACAACCATTTATTGGAGAATAACTTTTGAAGAATGCCCCAACTTCACTGATGGACAGGAGATCGTTGAAATGACTCCAATGCCTCAAGTTTCCTCTTTGATTGCAGACTTCAAAAGAAAAACAATATGCTGCTTGAGAAAAGGATACAACTATTTAAAAAAGCTTGAAAATAAAGAATGTGTAGAAGGAGAATTTAGTGCAGAAAAATTGAAACCAAACATAGCATGTAATTACCCATTGCATGTACTATTTTATACCATACTAGAGATAACACGTGCATGAAGGCACAGAACAACGTAAATTAACCGATTAATTTGAAAAAAAAAATTCTTAAATGTGATTTAATTAAAAAAATTGAAATTAATATAGTTTTCAAATATTTTTTGGAAATTATTTCGACAAAGCTTGCTCTATAAATAGGAGCTTAAGAAAATTTCAACCTATATACAAAAGTAAAAAACAAATAAAACAATCCCCTAAAATCAACAATCGATACCTTACAACCAAAATAACCAACAATTTCACATCAAGACAAACATATCCCCATAAACATAAAATTAGTTTACCATACTAAACACAAAATAATCAAAAACCCACGCAAAGTAAGTTGACATAGATTATTCTTTATATCATTTAATTAAAGAAAATTGATATAGATCATTCTCTATATCATTTACTTAAAGAAAGTTGGTATAGATTTAATTAAACCTAATAATTACTTGATATTTTTTCAAAATTTTGACATAATTTCATTTATAAATAAGTGTCCATGAAAATATCAACCTATATACAGAACTGAAAAATAAAAGAAACATTTCAATAAGTTGGTAAAGATTATTCTTTATATCATTTAATTAAAGCCCAATGCCTGAAGATACGATGTAAAAAAGAAAAAAGTCAATTACAAAGCATACCAAATAGAAGAGCGCTAATAATATTGTGGAATATACATTTAAATACATAAGTACCTACTGTTTCAATATACAATTATCTGTTCTGCAAGACTACTATCACCAACATATTACATCTGGTCAAAACTGGTTTGTCCCCACTACAAATTCTCATACTCTCTGCTCATATTTCATTCCACCTAAGCATCACGCATATCCACTACCAAAAAATATTCCATTAAAAATTAAACAAATCAGTAGCTTTTAAGAGATTTTCTTGAAAAAAGTATTTAAAACCCCACCAAATTCTCCATAATTCTCTCAAATTAATTTAAAAAGATACTCCAAAGTAATCAAAATAATTTCCTTAAATACAAATTGAAAAATGAAATATCAACTAACCTACCTAATAATCAGGCATATTAGAGCATGAAAAAAAAAATAGCAACTACCCACCTTCAAAAAAGCATGAAAAGATAAGCAATGCAGTATGAAAAATACCTCTAGCCATCCTCCTAAATAGCAAGAATTTTCAAACAAATCGGCATCTGCCCACAAAACCCCTATAAAACAGCAAAATAGTTTATTAAAAGTGCATCAATTAGCAATAAAAATTATAATTAATTAATTGACTTTGGATTTTTTTTAAAAAAAATTGGTTCAATAATTATCCGTATAACAAATCAAAACATTTGAATGAATTGTATCATGAAATATGGAGGGCAACTACGACTTTGCCAAGTCCATGAAAATAATGCTCAATAGCTAATGATTAATTAGCCATAAAAATAATGGTATGAAAATAATGTTTTGTACCAAAAAAAAAACACCATACCACATTATATATCAGGACATCAAATGTCAACCCAATAAACAAATTAAAATTCTATTATCAGTGGCATACCTGAAATTAAATAAAGTATAAATTAAAACCCAATGAACATAACACAATGAATGTCATAATAGTTGTCAAAATCAAGCAAACACCTATCGTAGACGGGCCTAAATTCAACCCACTAAATGGGTATATAGTGAATTCATATCAATCAAACAAAAAATCAATGGTAGAGTATATAAAGAGAAGGGGGATACCTGTATTTGGACATCATCGGTGGTGGGTCACTGTCGGTTGAAAAGAAAGGTAGGAGAGAGAGACAGAAAAGAGATAAAATAAAGGGTCGTATGGGGGAGAGAGAAAACACATAGTGGATATAAAATAGTGGAGAGAGAGAAAGAAGGGTTGGTTGTTAGGTAGTGTGCCTGACAAAGGATATGGGAGACTCTTAATATAAATAAGTTCA